AATAAAATTTATAAAATTAAAACTTAAATGTACATGGCCTTGTAGCTTATAACATGAAAGTAACATTTAAGTACTTGCAAGAAAGAAATTGATATTTAACTTCCTTCAAAACTAATATAATAATTAACAATTGATTTTTATTAATTAAAAAAAAAACTTAAATATCAACCAAAATGACATGATTTTTTTATTTTTGTTCCAGAGAGCGTACACTTTAGAGACCTTAAATGTATTTTATGCATAATATATTATTTATGTATTGACGATTTTAAATTCCAACAATGCTAGGGCCATCATAATAATGTATTAAAAATTATTTGTTAATTCATATATAATTATTGCATTAGTCACTCATTTATATTATAGTAATATTACAAATTCAAAATTAACTATCTAAAAATTACCCAGAATAGTCATCTTATGATTTATATTTATTCTACACATAAATCTCACACTACACAAATTCAATCTCAACTATTCAAAAAAAATAAAAAACTCCTTAGTGTAATTTTCTCCAACATGATAACGTGGCGGGTATGATGTGACACTCTAAAAAAAATTAAAAATTCCTTTGTGTACTTTTCCCAAGCATGACATGTGACATTCTAATGTAGTGGGTATGGTGTGACACTCTAAAAAAATTTAAAACTCTTTAGTGTACTTTTTTCAAATGTGACACTTTAATGTGACGGATATGATATGACACTAAAATTTTTTTTTAGTGTACATTTTCTAAATGTAATACTCCAATGTAGCAAGCAAATGAATCATTACACATCTAAAAGAATTAAATGAATCACAAGAAAAAATATGAGACTATATGAATTACAAGTTCAAAATAAATGACTTAGACCATCTCCAACGCTGAACCTAAATTGATATCAGATTTAAATTTTGATGAAAAATATACTTTTCCATGCTCCAACCGTTGCATCAAATGAATATCAAAATGAGAAATCAGCAAAAAAAGTATCAAACTGAGAACAAGTTCCGGATTTTACCAAATCACTGTTACTGACCGTTGGTCAACCGGTTCCCTTTGAAATAACTAGGTTCAAACCGGTCAAAAAAGGTTCAAACAGGTAAAAAAAAAAAAATTGCCCAAACCGGTCGACCGGTTGGTCAACCGGCCGGTCGACCACCCGGTCGACCACCTCCCTAATTTTGCTTTGATGCTCACCGTTGTAGCGCCTCGTATCAAATTGAAAAAATCGTCATTTTTTTCATCAGATTTGATGAAAAAAAAAGTTAAGCGTTGGAGATGCTCTTACACTATCTTAATATTTCTTTATTGCAAGTCTTTTTTCACAAAATACAAGTGTTAATGTCAAATAGAAGCTTCCCATAAATGAAAGGCAGAATTTTTTGATGTGCTCAAAATGGAATTTTTTTTATTTTTAAAAAATAAAAAACTAAGTTTTATTTGTAAAATATCATAATTAAATCATTCTGATTGAATATTTAAAATAAAAAAACGAGAGAGAGTCTCAAAACTGAAGTGTGTAACGTGTAGATAATCTTAATATAAGTCTCACTAATAGTGAATTTGGTTTACAATTTTCGTTTTTTGATAACTTTTTGAGTAAGTTATTTTAGACTCTATAACATTATTAATTATTTTCTGTAACTTTTATTTATTTTTTTTGATAACTTAGGGGGACCAATCCCACCGTCCACTAGCAGGGGCCCATTTAAAGCCAGAGCAGAGCTCCGTATGGCCTGGTCCAACACAAGAGTTGATAGCACCTAAGAAGTTTTAAACCTGAGACCTAGAGGGGAACAAACTTCTAAGTCCCAAGCCTCCACCACTAGGCCGACCCTGTAACTTTTATTTAAGATTATAGTTATATTTAAAATTTCAAACTAAGAAGAATTAGATGTAAGAAATTAATGAGTACCAAACTTTCATCTAGCTGTGAGATTTACTTCTTGTTTGTGGTGGATAATTTGCAATCAATAATGCTATATATATATTTTTAATACATCGGAAAAAAATAATAATGCTATATATGCAATATGTTAGATATTATCCACTGTCCAATCTTGAAACCTCTGTCTCTCTATCTCGCTATCTCTCTCTCTCTCCGTATGTCTATACTATCTTATAAATTTTATTTTTATTATGTCAAATTTGATTAATTTTTAATGATTGTGTAAATCATCGAAGAAATGACAATAAAATACATATACACTGTCTAAATTTTGTTTCATGTGACTTTGCCCTTTAAAATTTTGTTTATCTAATTTCAATCCTAAATTTTTGAGTTATATATATTTAAATGACTGAAATTTAGAGAGAAAAATCATTACGTGACGATTTCTGAATGGCGTTGGCTTCTGTCCAGTTCTTAATCGGATTGGATCATACTGTTGGACCCGTGGGAGTTCATCACCGGTCTCGTTTTGATAATCTGAACCGTTCAATGTGTAGAACTCGTCGCGTACTATAAATCTGTACAAAATCACGTTAATTGAATATTGGTAGCTATGTGATCAAATCAGTTTTGTATAAAAAAAAAAATGAACGGTGAATAAATTAACGGTTGAAAAAAATCTGATTTGATCACATAGCTACCGATATCTAATTAACGTGATTTTTTACAGGCTTATAGTACTCGACGATTTCTACACATTGAATGGTTCAGATTATCAAAACGGAACCCATGGTGAGCCCCCACGGGGCCAACAGTACGGTCCAGTCCGATTAAGGACTGGACAGAAGCCAACGCCATTCAGAAATCCTCACGTAATGATTTTTCTCTCTAAATTTCAGTCATTTAAATATATATAACTCAAAAATTTAGGATTGAAATTAGATAAACAAAAATTTTAAAGGGCAAAGTCACATGAAACAAAATTTAGACAGTGTATATGTATTTTATTGTCATTTCTTTGATGATTTACACAATCATTAAAAATTAATCAAATTTGACATAATAAAAATAAAATTTATAAAATTAAAACTTAAATGTACATTGCCTTGTAGTTTATAACATGAAAGTAACATTTAAGCACTTGCAAGAAAGAAATTGATATTTAACTTCCTTCCGAACTAATATAATAATTAACAATTGATTTTTATTAATTAAAAAAAAAACTTAAATATCAACCAAAATGACATAATTTTTTTATTTTTGTTCCAGTGAGCGTACACTTTAGAGACCTTAAATGTATTTTATGCATAATATATTATTTATGTATTGACGATTTTAAATTCCAACAATGCTAGGGCCATCATAATAATGTATTAAAAATTATTTGTTAATTCATATATAATTATTGCATTAGTCACTCATTTATATTATAGTAATATTACAAATTCAAAATTAACTATCTAAAAATTACCCAGAATAGTCATCTTATGATTTATATTTATTCTATACATAAATCCCACACTACACAAATTCAATCTTAACTACACAATTCTTATTCGGAATACATTCGGAATTTGTAAGGTGAAATTCATAGCATTTTTCTTTATATTATCAATGAGATGATAAACACCTTTCAATACATAAATATATGTAAATATAGTCAATGATCATAGTATTGTCATTGTCTTCAGTTCATTCACCATCCATCAGGTAGGCTTGCTTTCTTACGATTAGTCCATTCTCCAATCTAGAATTCCTAACCAGAATAAATTAATAAAAATATTTGCTTTTGATCTATGCTTCTTTTTTTTTTTTTTTTTTTTTGAAAAAAAAAAAAAAAAAAAACTTTCATCATCATCATTTGAAATATTTTGGTACAATGATTTGAATTTCCACACTATTATTTGCTGGGAAAAATAAATTTATTAGACGTTTAATTCCTAATCCTAAATTGGCCTTTCCTACATGCATGTGTTGGGGTCTTTTGTGCCTGTTTGGTGCAGCTTAAAAGCTGCTTATTTCAGCTTTTAACTTAATTTAAGCTATTTTGATGTGTTTGCTTTAACTTATAACTTATAGCTTATAACTTTTTGGAAGTCAGAAATCAGCTTATTCTTTGAGTGGGTCAGGAGATGCTTAATTTATAAGTCAGAAATCAGCTTATGTTCATGATTATAAGCTATAAGCTGTTTAGGCATAAGCTATGAGCACTTTCCCACCGCTCTACCAAACAGGGCCTTTGTACATACCACATAAATGAGAAACTTTCTAGTTACACTACCTTAATATTTCTTTAGAAAAATGCTTTGGAGCTCTAATTCTTGAGCTCTAATTCTTGAGCTCTAAAGCAAGCTCTAATGAGTTGGCAGTGGGTCCCACCTACTGTGATGTGATGTTTTGATCTTTTCTTTTTTTTTTTCCTCCTTGCCATGTTATTAGTGCTCCATTAGAGTACCAAAATTAGTGCTCTAAATCATTGTCGATTTCTTTATTGCAAGTCTTTTTTCACAAAATACAAGTGTTAATGTCAAATAGAAGCTTCCCATAAATGAAAGGCAGAATTTTTTGTTGTGTTCAAAATGGATTTTTTTATTTAAAAAAATAAAAAAAACTAAGTTTTATTTGTAAAATATCATAATTAAATCATTCTAATTGAATATTTAAAATAAAAAAACGAGGGAGAGTCTCAAAACTGAAGTGTGTAGCGTGTAGATAATCTTAATATAAGTCTCACTAATAGTGAATTTGGTTTACAATTTTCATTTTCTAATAACTTTTTGAGTAAGTTATTTTAGACTCTATAACATTATTGATTATTTTCTGTAACTTTTATTTAAGATTATAATTATATTTAAAATTTCAAACTAAGAAGAATTAGATGTAAGAAATTAATGAGTACCAAACTTTCATCTAGCTGTGAGATTTACATGTTTGAGTTGGATAATTTGCAATCAATAATGCTATATATATATTTTTAACATATCGGAAAAAAATAATAATGCTATATATGCAATATGTTAGATATTTTCCACTGTCCAATCTTGAAACCTCTCTCTCTCTCTCTCTCTCCGTATGTCTATACTATCTTATAAAGGCAACAATTGCGTTAAGAGTCCTGAAGCCATAGCTCAAAAATCATTCATACCTAACCAAGGAAGTTGAAACTCATGGCCGAATCACCATCATTCTATGTCTTGGCCTTTTGCTTGCTTTCCATCTTTGGCCTGGTTCAGATAGCTCGAGCTCAAGCTCAGACAAATGGTACTACAACTCCTTCTGAAGGTTCTCTCTCTCTCTCTCTCTCTCTCTCTCTCTCTCTCTCTCTTGTAGTCATGGTTTTTTTTTTTCATTTTAATTTTCTAGTTCTAAAGTTTATGATAAATAACAAGTTGTTTTGATTGATGGGGTGATTCCATTGATGGGCTCCCCCACTCCAGTATATATGATTAAACAAGGTTGCTTATAATAACAAAAACGTTTTTAACAGATTTGAAGTGTTTGGTGATCTTGAAAAATAGTTTCAAATAAACTAAAATATAACCTTTCTTTTTTTAATTAAGGCTTTTGAAAGGTGCCTTTTCAACAACTACAAGCAACTCCAGACGTTTGGATGTAAATTATTCTATCAACTTTTTTCTGTTTTTTAAGTGATCGTATATTTGCAAGGTGACTTTTGGGGCATCTATTTACCCACATCAAAAATCCTAAGTGATTTTTTTAATTATGATTTTATTCCTTCATCAAAATTTTATTTTGGACAAATCCTAAAATGTAATTTCTCACTCTATACACTACCACCTAGCCCTTTTCTCAGCACCCAACGCCACCACCCATCATCATCGAAGGAGAGACAAAAACAGAAGTTCGATTTTGCAAATCGTGGCTAGTGGTTAGACATTCTATGATCGAACAATATCCTTTGGTTTGGATGTCAGAGATTGAACAAGACTATGTTTGAACAAAGGTTGATCATTCAGATCTAAAACTTGAACAAAATTCCAACAATGATGGTAATACGTTTTGTGGTAGTAGCTGTCAATGGTTGGAGTGAAAGAATTTGTGGAGATGGGCCTTAGATGGTTATGGCTTTGCAGTGAAGTGGTGTGTAGTAGTTTCTTAGGGAAAATATATGATTTTTCGCAAATAAATTAATTAATAAAAATGAAAATTAATGTGAAAAAATTAAATCAATAATGACATAAGAATTTTTACGTAATTTTCTCAATGTGAGGTACGTCTACGGAATTGAAATTCAATTCCACTATCAACCAAAAGTTTCTAAACGATTACAAACGAGACACGAATAGTCTCATAAATCACCCTTAAGTGACTTCCAAATAATTACAAATAAATAAGAAAAAACAAAAACAATTACGTAAAATTAACAAGAGGAAACAAAAATTTTCGAAACAGAGTTGTAGAAGACTCAAAATAATAATCCAAACCAACTTCGAATCAGAGACAATAACAGCATCAACAAATCAAACACCCAACATTTACCAATCTTAGTCGCCAATTGAAAAATACACCCAGCACAGTACCGAGGATGAATCAATCATTATAGTTGCCCCCCCTTTCAAAGATAAAACAATCAAAAAATATTGTTGTCTCTTGGGCTTTTTATCAAAGCCCTAGCAGTTACCAAATAGATTATTAAATGCCTATTGGGTTTTCAAAAGTTAGATATAATATATAAAAATATATATATTATAACAACACCATTCAACGCTATTCCAAAAGTAGTTAACTTGAAAGGAACCACCTGTTACATAATGTTTATTCTTACCCCACCTTCGAACTTTCAAGCTCTGCTATCCTCGTCTGCTACAAATGCTGGTGCAAATTTAGACAACTTTGTAAACTCGGCTTTATATTCTGCAACAGTCTTATTTCCTTGCTCTAACTTTGAAAATCCCCTCTGTTTCTGTAGACGAACACTCCTAGGGAAGTATTTCTCATTAAATGCATTCTTAAACCTTTCCCATCTATATGGGTTAGCATCGTGCTCATATATGCGCTTCTCCATTTTTCACCAATCATTAGTTATCCCTTGTAGCATAAACACGGCATAAGTCACCTTCTGATCATCCGTACACTCAAAAATAGGAAACAACTTTTCCATTTCTATCAGTCATTTTTCAGCCTCCAAAGAGTCTATGGCTCTCTCAAATGCCAAGGCTATCTTCTTAAACTCAGTAAAGTTACAACGTGGCCTCAGTTGTGGCCCAACTCCCAACTGTAACCGTTGTTGTTGCTCCATAAGTCTGGTCAAGTTATTATCTATGGTGGTTTGTTATTGTACCACCCCGGCCAAAATTTGAAGCACTTGGATGGGGGATTGCAGCTCGTTCTTGTTATCCCAGCTCTTGCCCCCTGATTTCCTCTAACCACTTGAGAACCACTACCATTATTAGTCACATTCCCTCGCCAGTTGTTATTACCAGTCTGCCGATTCGTCTGACCCTGGTGTGTATTCCTAGCCATATTTGCCAATGTCTCCTCATGTTCCATTGCAACCTATATGCATCAATAATAAAACATCATTTTACGCCATTCTCAAATCCATATAAATAAAATTAACAATATACCAAATTATAAGCGTTCACAATCCTACATTTATCCAATCTCACCACTATTCTATACTAGCCTTCAAAATTACAACTTGGCTCTGATACCACAAAATTGTCACGCCCCAAGCTCCGTGACAATGCCGTACACTCATCTAAGTGAGCATGCAAGGCTAAGAGTCCAATCAAATAAAACAACAATATAAAATACTCAAATTAAATCTTTAATTGTCATAATGCCAAAATCCATAAATAATAAACGATCCTTATCAAATGAAATTGTCTGCCAAGTCCATTAATATAATCCACTAACAAAATAGTAATCTAAGTAACTTAAATCATAGTCCTACTATCGGTACTCCCATAAGTAAAAACCCGCATAGCTTTACTCTTCAGAATCTAAAAAATAAAATAAAATATGGGTAAGCTAGACAGCCTAGCAAATAACTATCACTACTAGGTGGATCAAGTATACAAAAAACAAATAATCGATAACCAATAAATATATTTTCGCTACAATTCAATAAATGAACAATTATTTTGTAAGATGGTTTCATAGCTGAAAATAAACAATGTAACAATACATTTTAATTGAAAAGATAATAAGATAATTCAAAGTAATTTCGTTGTTCAAATCGATGGTTCGATATTCAGATAGTTCAATGATTTGATTTACAAAACTCAAGCCTTGGTGACTATGGTCACTTAGCATATGACCAAACCCAGAACCACACATAGGCCGGTGGTGAAGCCCCAAAAGAAATTAGTTTTTGTCCCAATAAATAACCCCTATTGGCTAGGGTCCAAATCATAGTCAGACTAGAGTGATGTTCAGAATTCAAACAATACACAACTTTTAAATAAATATTCGATATGTTCAAAATAAACATTTGGTACAATTTTCAGAATAATTTCACAAAATATTCAAATAAATTTCATAATAATATCCGATGTTGTTTTATATTTGACCCATATTTTATTTTAAGGGAATAGGAAGGCTATAAATAAATATTTATAATTTCCAACGATTCGATAGGAATAAAAATGAACCAACAGTGATAGAGGGTTACTTACCTCAAACAGCTAAAATAATATCTTCCAAACTAATCTCAAACTACCAAGATCACCTCAATCTCACAAACCTAATAAAATATTATACCACATAAACAATTATTGTTTGCACCCATCATTCCTTTCATTGTAACAACAATAAAATAAATTAATCCAATAGTCTATCAAGAACTCCCACACTTCAGCATCAAAACAGAGCCATCATGGCTTCAAAAATTCTCAATTTATATTATTCCAGTGTTATTTATATATATATATATATATATGTATAAATTTGTAACTGCTTACAGTCAATCTTGTATTCCACAAACACACCACCATTAAACTTAACCCATCACATATCAATCCCAAAATACAACCACCCAAACTGAATGCAAAATACACTCTAAAGTCTGACGAAATCGACACTCCCAACATAGACTACATCAATATATTTATTTAATCATATGTCCCTATACAAATCATCTATTGATATATCGAAACTAAATTCATAGATAGGAATACAATAAAATAAATCTTACCGCTCTATGAATCTTCCCTCTTCGTTTTCTTCTTCTTCTTTTTTCCTTCCTTGAACCCTACGGCAGCCTTCAAAAAACCCCTGCCGAGGCCTCTATTTTTTCCTCCAAGACTTGAAGCAAAACATGTTTGCTCATTTAACCTAGTTTTTCTAAAATTGCAAAATTGTCCATCTAAGTTATAGAAATTATAATACCATCTCATAACTAATTCCTTAATATTACTAAATGACCAATATAAATTAATTTAATTACTAATCTATTCCATAAAATTATTCTACTTATAACTTAGATTTTATAGCTTTATCCATGTTGAACCTCTCAAGAACTTCTCAATGTAGTTTTCATGAGACAACCAAATTAGCAATTTTTTGGAATTACGAACAATTTTCATACCAAGTATTTACTTTGTCAGTCCCAAATCTTTCATAGCAAAAAACTTACTCAACTCTAACTTCAACTTATTAATCATGGTAAAATCTTGACCCATAATTAACATGTCATCAACATAAAGCAAAAGAATAATAAATTTGACATCCGAAATTTTTTTCACAAACACACAATAACGTGAAGTGGTTTTAAAAAAATTATTATTCATCATGAAAGAGTCAAATTTTTTATACCATTGCCGCGGTGCTTACTTAAGGCCATAAAAAAAAATCAATTTGCAAACAAATTTCTCTTTCTTTTTTTGCACAAAACCCTCCAGTTGCTCCATGCAAATTTCTTTTTCAAGATCACCATGAAGAAATGTGGTCTTTACATCAAGTTGTTCAACTTCAAGGTTCATACTTGCGGCCATGCCAAGTACAACCTGAATAGAAAATATCTTTACAACTGACGAGAAAATTTCATCAAAGCCAATACATTTCTTTTGCCCAAAGCCTTTCACAACAAGGCGTGACTTGTACGTTAGATTCTTGCCATCATTATTTTATTTGAAGACCCACTTATTTTTCAGAATTTTCTTTCCCTTAGGCAACTTTACCAAATCATAAATGTGATTTTCAAGAAAGGAATTCATTTCCTTTTCCATGACCTTTTTCCAATCACTTTTCTTTGCATGCTCAATTGCTTTTTGGTAACTCTCGGGCTCCCCTTGATCTACTATTAACACAAGTTCATT